CTCCTTGTCCACCAGTTCTGAATAAGCCTGTGGATGAAGGTAAAACAAGCGCCATTGATGGATGTAATTAACACACAAAAACATATCACAAGCAGCTTTACCACAGGCTAGAAAACAGACACCACCCTTTTTCACTATATTTCATGGGTGCATTCCTTCAATCCTTTGATTAAAACTAGCACAGCACTGTATTTTCTATAAAAGAAAGCCACAGATTAAAATCCTGATCTAAGAGGGAGGGATTGCAAAAAGGTGCTTGAAAAGGAGAGTGAATGCAATAGTGAGTGCATGCAAACATGTGGCTATGAGTGAGTGCAGAGAGAGACTTCCAGAGTTAAGGGCCTACGCAGCTGTCAACATGGCTGTTCATTTTGTATTCCCACTGTTGTTGAGTTCAGTCCCACATTTTCCAATGGGATTGTGACAAATTCTCATCTCTCTTCAAACAGGAGTCCCCTATTTGTTCTCACTTTGCTACCCTTGCACCACATGCCTTCCCATCCCTGTTCAACGTGTTCCCTGATCGCCATTGGAATGCTAATACAGCTTTTCTTTTATTTGCACTGTTGAACATTTTATAATCAAATATTTCTCTTTAGGAAAATAAATTCCTGCAATGTCCTTAATTCATAAGTCTTTTATCCTGACTATTGATTCGCCAACCAGGGGAAACCATCTTTCGCTGTTTCTCTCCCAAAGTCATAAAAACTTTAATCATTTGTATTATTAAATCCACCAAACAGGAGACCCAATTCATTTTTATGCCCCTCTATAAAATGCTGTTATATATGACGCATGGATGAGGCATTCCACTCCCGTAACCCTATTCCCAATTCCTTAGCCTCCGCCGCATCTGTTCCTAGGATGAGGTATTCCACTCCCGTACATCTCAGATGTCCTTGTTTTTCAAGGACCGCAACTTCCCCCTCCCAGTGGTCGAGAACACCCTCCACCGTGTCTCCCACATTTCCCACAACTCATCCCTCACACCCCGTCCCCGCAATAACAACCAAAAGAGAATCCCCCTCGTCCTCACGTACCATCCCACCAACCTCCGGATCCAACGCATCATCCTCCGACACTTCCGCCATCTGCAATCCGACCCCACCACCAAAAGACATCTTTCCCTCCCCACCCTTATCTGCTTTCCGGAGGGACCACTCTCTCCAGGACTCCCTTGTCCGCTCCACACTCCCCTCCAGCCCCACCACACCCGGCACTTTTCCCTGCAACCGGAGGAAGTGCTACACCTGCCCCCATACCTCCTCCCTCACCCCCATCCCAGGCCCCAAGAAGACTTTCCACATCAAGCAGATGTTCACCTGCACATCTGCCAATGTGGTATACTGCATCCGCTGTACCCGGTGTGGCTTCCTCTACATCGGGGAAACCAAGCGGAGGCTCGGGGACCGCTTTGCAGAACACCTACGCTCGGTTCACAACAAACAACTGCACCTCCCAGTCGTGAACCATTTCAACTCCCCCTCCCATTCTTCAGACATCATGTCCATCCTGGGCCTCCTGCAGTGCCACAACGATGCCACCCGAAGGTTGCAGGAACAGCAACTCATATTCCGCTTGGGAACCCTGCAGCCCAATGGTATCGATGTGGACTTCACAAGCTTCAAGATCTCCCCTCCCCCTACCGCATCCTAAAACCAGCCCTGCTCGTCCCCGCCTCCCTAACCTGTTCTTCCTCCCACCTATCCCCTCCCACCTCAAGCCCCACCCCCATCTCCTACCTACTAACCTCATCCCGCCCCCTTGACCTGTCTGTCCTATCCCCTCCCTAACTCCCCACCTACACACCTTTACTGGCTCCATCCCCGCCTCTTCGACCTGTCTGTTTCCTCTCCACCTATCTTCTCCTCTATCCGCCTCCCCCTCTCTCCCTATTTATTTCAGAACCCCCTTCCCCTCCCCCATTTCTGAAGAAGGGTCTAGGGCCGAAACGTCAGCCTCTCTGCTCCTATGATGCTGCTTGGCCTGCTGTGTTCATCCAGCTCTGCACCTTGTTGTCTCTACATACAGATGAATCTATTTTTGCAGACAGTTAAAATTTATCTCCTGTAATCCCTTTTTTGACAAGTGGTCTTTACTTTCCCCTCTGTACTGGTAAGAGAAAAGTGGACGACTTTGCAATTCTCCATAGCCATTCCAGAAGGGGCAAGACATTTACATTTTCCTTCCACTGCTGTTTGTGGGATCGTGCTGTGTAAAACTTGGCAGCCACATCTATTTGTGACAGGAGTGGCCACACATCAGAATTAATACATTTGTCACAAAGTGTATTATGGTGCCAGCACATAAAGGTGCTATATAAGTGTAGGTTCTTTTGGCTATCATGTTACCATGCTGAGAACCAGAGACTGGAAAGTCTACACACAGATCTTTGCCCAGTGATCATTGATGGCAATTTCTGTTCAATGACTCACTCTGAAGATAGTTATTCTTTCGGTTAGGGACAGCATGTGGCTGCTTCAATGCAACAGCAAGAGACCACTAAAGCAGTTCAACATCCCTGCCTAAAGCAGTCAATCAATTTAAATAAAAAAAACATTTGCTGTGAGATAGCTTAAATTGGCAACGATGTGCAAATTCATATATTCCAACCTCTCAAGGGGAGGCTAATAATAGAGCTTGGGGAAAAGATGGCAGAGGCACTAACCATAATTTTCCAAATATCTTTTTGGCAGCCCTCTGGAACCTGGTAGCAACAGAAAAGAAAAAAAACAGAAGAGAGTTTGTGTGAGAGAAAGGAGAGGGTGGTGATGATAAAGTTCCATTAGATGATGAGAGGATGGGTTTCTTGAAAATGAATGGAGCTGTCATTAAAGTTATTATAGGAAGATTTTAAAAGGATTAATAGTGAAAATAGTTTGTACTGGTTAGTGAATCAGGAACCCAGGAGTACAGACTGGGGCAAGGTAATTGGATTAAAGTCAATCATTTTGATTGAAGAGCTAGCACCAGTACCAGGCTCAGTGGGCTGAATGGCCAAATGTCTGAGTTTTCACAGCTCTACTGAATGAAAAAAAAACATCCCCCCCCACCCCACCAGCACAATTGGCTCTGCTTTTAGCTCACTGGAGCCTAAACTCAGACGCACCCCTCCCCCAAACCTTTTGTCTACCCTTCTCTCTCCTCCTTTCAAACACTCCTTAAAATCTACCTTGTTGACCAAGTTTTGTTCTTCTTTCCTCACGTGGCTCAGTACCACAATTCCATGAAGCATCTCAAGAAGCTTCAGCATAGTCAAAGTTGGTGTAAAAGTACAGAGTCATTGCATTGATTCTTTTCTTTCTTGCCTTCAGTGAGCATGCATGTTCTCAGGAATATAAACTCGCCCACCACTTGCACCTCTGTATCGAAGCTCATTTCTACTTGCTTTCCTTCATGTCTTGTTCAGCCCAAGGTGTGAACTACCACCTCCAGGTAGCTAGTGTTTCACCCCTGTTTAGTCTTCCTGCTCCTCCACCAGCAAAGGCCACAGAGAGAGGAGTAACAATGTCCTCGTTTTAAAGGGGCAGCTGGTAGCATAACAGCAATGCCATTTGTGCAGCTATCTTAAGGCTAATGTTCGGGGGACAGGAGTTTAAACCCCAAGATGGCAAATGATGAAATTTCAATTCAATTTAAAGAAAAGTCTGGAATTAAAATCCCATCCTAGGGGTTAAATTTTAGAGAAGGAAATCTGCCATCCTTATCTGGTCTGGCATATATTTGATTCCAGACCCACAGCAAAGTGGTTGACTCTTAACTGTCCTCTGGATAAATCAGGAATGGGCAGTAGATGCCAGGTTAGTCAGCAATGCTCACATCCCACGAACAGATTAAAGAAAAATTTCCATTCTGGGACTTCCATTCAGGTCACGAAATGAAGTGACCAGGTAAACCCCAGGAATCTATCACCTGTTCTCTTGCAGTGATTTGTTGGGACACACTTCCAAAGACTTCATACACCATATGATCACTGAAGGGAAAATCCAGTAGGGAGATTCACTCACTCAATTCATAGAGCTCCCAATTCCCAGTTTTTAAAATTTTAGAAAAGTCAGGAGCTCGCCAAACCAAGTCTCAATATCCTCTGGAGAAAGATTCCTGCTGGGGCCAGAGTCTTGGAAAGAAGTTACCTCATCTGTCAGTCCGAATTCCTTCACTCAATCAACATTGTAGAGTCCAAAACAAGCAAAAAGACCAGTGAGAAAAATCAATTACATGCACAATACTAGAACACAAACCTGTTAGCTAAAGGAAAGCAAGGTAATCTAAAACAGTTGTAGCACATCCAGAATATTGGATCTTAGCAGTTCAGTTACGACTCTGGCTAGCTTTTTCCTTCGAGGCAGTGGGAAATGGGTTCAAAATGAAGAGAAGACCCAGTGGAGAGGAGGGAAGTTACATTTCTGCCACCCTCTGGATTTTCACCTCATCTTCTTACACATTCCATCAATGGATCTGACCATTCCAAGCACAGGCCCAGTATTGTTATGGAAACTAGGCAGAATGGTCAAAAAGGAGAAGGTGGTGATCACCCTAACCTCATTCCTCCTCTTTTCAGGATGATACCAAAATCAGTGGGTGGTGGGGGGGTGCAACATCTCAAGAATAGGGGTGAACCAATGCTGACTAGACAGGGTCAGGCCTTCCAGGGGTCAACCTCACACTCCTGTTTCCTGCCTCCATTTCCAAACACCGACTCACTAAATTTGGGTTTTCTTTTTTTAAAAAAAAAAAAAAAAACAAAAAAGAGGGAGGGGGGGTGGGGTGGCAGTGCTATGCTCCACATCTGGAGTGAATTGGCAGATCTGGAAATGCAAGGGCAGCTACAGATGAGCCACATTGTAAAATAGGGTCAGTGACCAATATCTGCCAGTTTAATATTAAATGTGAAGCAGACTAGCCAGCAACGGTCCTCAGGATTTGTTGGGCTGATAACGAAGTGTGAGTACAGAAAAAGCAGAATTGGCTTCCACGCAAGCCACTAACCAGGCATTTACTTACGGGTAGCCAAGCTCCATGAAGTTGTTCCAGCTCTGTTTCAACACCATGATGATTCCCAATTGCAAACACAGATCGATAAAACAACCACTTGGGTGGCACTGCAAATGAAGATTAAAAAGCAGGGCATGAGGCCAGAACATTAAACAAACAAGTTACAGAACATTCTGGCTCAATGGGAAACTCACCCCAAAAATCAAAGGCACAGCTTCCAGTCCCATTCTGAAGTCTCCCATGGACAGGACTGAAGGGAATGCCATGCCATTATTAAAGTGGGACACTTGTCCTCCCCAGTAAATGTAAGAGATGCCACAAGCACTATTTGGAAGAGAAAGAGTAGGCACATGCATCCCAGAATCCCAAGGCCTATAGTTATACCTCAACCCACATCTCCAAGCGCAAAGTGATCTGGCCTTTGTCACTTTGCTGCTTGTGGGAGCTTGCTTCCTGCAAATTGGTTGCCATGTTTCCTATAATACAACATTGTCTAACACTTGAGTTCTTCAGCTTTGAAGTATTGTAAGATGCCCCGAGGTCATGAAAAGAGCTACATAAATACAAGGAGATTCAGTTTGCAGTGATGCAAAGGTTGAATTGAAAAGTAAAGTTACTTAATATCTACTTCTAATACCCCATTTATTTGATTTTAGTAATGGTCAACTTAATGAGACCATTCTATTACTGGGAAAATTTTTTATTCAGTCCAGGTTCAAGAGAGAAGGATAGTAATGGAAGAGAAAGTTAGAGTAGGATAAAAAAAAGTGTGAGTAGAGAAATGGATAAAAGTGAAATATAGGGGAGAAAAAGAGAAAACGAAAAGCATGAGGCAAGGAGTGTGTCAGTGAAAGAGAAAGACTAAGTGAAGGGAGATGGACAAGCAAAGAATATGGATTGGAAACTGGTCAGATTCAACTGGAGATCAACTCCTCCTGAATACCAATTACATAGCAGCCAATGACAGGCAGACATTGTCACCCATTTATCATAGCGATGGACACTGCTCACATTCCCTTAGTTAGGCCAAGAGGCAGATTGCTAAACAGTTTTCAACTGTTTTCAAAAGATACACCCACTGTGGAAGTTCAGTCACTGCACTATCAAAATTCACACAAAACACCTTTCTCCTATTGTTCTTAAAGCATTAATGGCGGTATCTCAATATCAAAACATTTGATCAACACCAAGTACTTTGTTGGCCATCAGCTGGTGACACACTGGGATCCCATACGCCCAATTCAGCCACGAACTCAAACTGATCATTATCCCTTAGTCAAGTGATTTTTGTGGTCAGTTTGGCAATTTTGCATTTTCTTCATGCTGCCCATCAGATCAAAATTCAGAGCCTTCAGAATCCCAACCTCACTGCATCACCCAAGGTATACCATGACAAAGAGCTCATTTCTTAATACGAAAAGACGAAAGAGCACAGTCTGGTTTTCTTTAAAGCTCTTATCAACTCCTCCATCTCATGTTGACAGTATTAATTCCAACATTATAGCCAGTTTTGGCACAGTTATCTTTTAGACAGTTAGATAAGCTTCAAAGTATCTTTTAGACTGTTTACACATATCTATTAGGATTAGGACTATGACAATCAGGGTTCCCTGGTCATTCCAGACTGTCCCATATAATTGTGAAACCTTGTGCTACTCATCCTATCTAGGGCAATGTGGTGAGAGAATGAGAGAAGACTTGAGGAGATCCACTCTGTTAAGCCTCATCAAAATCTGTTACGTTTCAATGACAGGAACCTTCATTCTCTTAAGCTTTAACCAACAAAAGCCTAACCTGTTTAGTTGCTCTTGATTAGTCAACCACTTCATCCTAGGAATCGGCCGAGTGAATTTCAAATTGTCTCCAATGCCAATATACCCTTCCTTAAATACAAGGATCAGAAAATGAAGAACTAAACAGTACATAGTACTCCCAGTGCAGCCTCAACCATACTCCGCACAGAGATGTAACAAGACTTGCACATTTTTAAACTCCAACCCCCTGCAAAAAAAGGCCATGTTTTGTTTGTCACTTTAATTACTTGCTGAATAAAGAATAACCAATCTGTAAAGCAGAGTGAGGAGCTTACAAGAGATCCAGTTAAATCTTCATATGTGGAGCAGATTGCAAGTTAACTCTACATTTTGAGGCAAATATTGGAACAAATCTGGGAGAAAAATAAATCAGTGAGACAAGAAAAAAGGTAGGGTTTGGGCACTCCAAAAGGTGTTCGTTCAGTGCACAGGGCAACGCGAAGTGTTATTGGTGTTTGAGAAACTGGTGAAGAACAAAAATTGACCTGCACACCTGCCGTCTTCTTGCTAGACAATAAAGGAAGTAAGACACACATTTAAAATGTATTAACATCTGTAAAATGTGACTGTGGGTTGTAACTTTCCCATGCAATATATTATTCCAGTTTGAGTTACTAACCTCCTCCAACCTCCACTTGTTCAAGACTCTCAGATAGGCTCCTGGGCGTCCTGTTAATCTGCAATAAAAGCATAATCATCAACTTATCAGCAGCACATCACAAAATACCTGCTTAGCAGCAAAGACAAAGGCAGATTTCTTCTCCTTCAAGAGCAAAAAGACGAATTAAATTTCAATTAAAAATGGGCAGTTGACAACATTTTGTTGCTAGAATTCAAATGAGTTCAAATACAGGAATTGTAGAAACTGCCCAATCAACATGCTGTACTGTGGCTCAGTGGTTAGCACTGCTACCTCACAGCACCAGGAGCCTGGGTTCAATTCTAACCTCGGGTGACTGTTTGTGTGGAATTTGTATAGTCTCCCCATGTTTGCGTGAGTTTCTGCTGGGCAATCCAGTTTCCTTCCCCAGTCCAAAGATATGCAAGTTAGGTGGATTGGCCATGCTAAATTGCCCCATAGTGTCCAAGGAGTGCAGGGTTATGGGGATAGGGTAGGGGGGGGTTTCGGAGGGTCAGTGCGGATTCCATGGGTTGAATGGCCTCTTTTCACAAATGTAGGGATTCTAGGATTCCACGAACATGCACCTTTAGGCTCAGTTTTTGCACTGGCTGGTCAGAGTGGGCTGTTCAGTGTAAGAGTGTGCGCACTAGTGAGTGTGCGCACTAGTGAGTGAGCAAGCGAGCGCACTGGAAAGCAAACGAGCGAGCGTGCGCGCACTGGTGAGTGAGCGAGCGAGAGAGAGAATGAGCACAAGACACACCTGTGGGAACATGGGTCACACAGCAAGAATGTGTGCATGGAATCCTTTAACATGGGGAGGTTGTTATTCTGCAACTAGTACACAATTCTGGCAGAACAGAAAGGGATCCTGCTGTTATCACCTGCAATAGGCACACTAGGAAGATCTACAGATGGATACAGATTTGCTCTTAGTACAGCAGAACCATTTACTGCTATTGGCACCTTCTCTTTCTGTCTCTGCTCTACTGTGTCCTTTGATCTAGGCACTTTACCCCATCTGTCCCTCTTACTCCTCCTCCCTATCATCTTAATAGGATAAAACATCCATTTGCTGACCCCTTTCAGTTTTGAAAACATCAGACTCAATGTTTTTATTTCAGTTCTCCAACATCTGCAAAAGTTTGCTTTCATTATTTGATAATTCAAACTGTCTGGCTACACTATGACACCTTATTAATGTTCTGAAGTGAGACCGAGCGTGGATTTTCCACCCCGGAGTTGGCAGCACTATCATTGTGCTACAAGACACACATCACATCACATCACAGGGCTCGAATCCTCTTTGGCTTGTATCACACTTACATTTGTGGTCTCCTGTGCCTTGGAGAACTTGGTGGCCCACAGAGGCAAGCCCAAGTGAAGGAACATCAATGGGATGCCAAGCAAGTGTGATCTCAAAAATCTATCTTCTACCAAACTTGTGTTTGCTTGCTAATAACTCCTTGCATAGCTCTGTTTCATTATGCAACCATAAACCACTCTAGTACTTTTAACAAGGTAAAATGTTCAAGAAAAGTTTTTTTTTGGATATAATGAGTACATAAATCAATTCCACAATCGGAATTAATATTCCTGCTTCCTACAAGGAAGGGAAGATCATAATGTAAAAATATTTAATTGATAGCTGTAAAGATTATGTAGGAGCATGATTGAATGAACACATTAATTTACAAATTGTCCTGCAAGCAGTAGCCTTCGGTGTAAATTCCAACCTAGCAGCTTATGAATTTAAATGTCATTAATAAATGTGGAATCGAGAGCCAGTCTCAGTGATGATGACCCTGATAACTATCAATTGTTTTAAAAATCTACAATGGCTCACAAATTCCCTTCAGGGAAGGAAGGGAATTTGCCATCCTTACCTGGTCTGACCTACAAGTGACTCCAGACCCACAGTAATGTCAGAGTCATACAGCATGGAAACAGACCCTTCGGTCCAACTCGTCATGCTGACCAGATATCCTAAATTAATCCAGTCCCATTTGCTAGCATTTGGCCCAAATCCCTCTAAACCCATCCTGTTCATATACCCATCCAGATGCCTTTTAAATGTTGTAATTGTACCAGCCTCCACCACTTCCTCAGGCAGCTCATTCCATAAAAGCATCACCCTCTGCATGAGAAATTTACCCCTTACACCCCTATTAAAATCTTTCCCCCCTCACCTTAAACCTCCGCTCTTTAGTTTTGGACTCCAGACTTGGGGGAAAAAAGGGCCTTGACTACACACCCTCTGGTTGTTAAACTCTCGAGTAGATGCCAAATAATATTGACAAATCCTGAACTGCTTTACTGGGGCGCTTTCTGAAAGAAACACAAACCAGCTATTCAAAGAATAGACTTACCTTCCCAGGAAAAATGCTATGTAAAAGGTAGAGCTGTTCAAGTTAACAAACTGAAACAGAAACATTTTTAAAGTGAAGCTGTTCTCCCACTCTGACTCAGTCCGAGGCTGTTCTGTGAAAGAGAAAGAGCAACATAATAGTTCAGCTTTCACTCCTGGGGTTGAGAACTTTTCAATGCAGATATAGTCTTACACTACACATCATTTACCCTTACTTCTCTGGATAATATACTTTCAAGTAACTTACAGAATAACAAATTATCACAGTGCAGGAGGTCATCATTTGGCCCATTGTGTCTGTACTGGCTCTTTGAATATTCAACTCGCCCTCATGCTCTTTTACTGCTATCTCCCTGTAACCCCACATTCTTCCTTTTCAGCTAACAGTCCAATTCTTTGAAATCCTCAATTGAATCCATCTCACCACTCTTCCAAGCAGCGCATTGTTCCAGGCTGTAACCACTTGTTGCATGAGAAATATTTCTCTCATATCACTTAGCCAGTTCCTTTAATCTGCATCTTCTTGTTCTCAATCCTTTCATGAATGGGAACAGTTTCTCCCCAGCCACTCTGTCCATGCTCCTCATGGTTTTGAGCACCCTCAATCTCTTCTTGTCCAAGGAAAACTGTCCTAAATTCTCCAATCTATCTTCATAACTGAAGCTCCTTGGCCCTGGAGCCATTCTTGGAAACTTCTTTGGCAGAGTGTTCCTGGCGTGTAGTGCTCTAGTGTCTTGTACAAGTTCAACACAAGTTCCTTGCTCATTTCCTCCATACCCTGATTAAATTCTGGTAAGACCTAGGATGCTCTATACTTCAGTAAACACTCCCTCAACCTGTTCTACCATCTACCATGACTTTGCCATCCATTGAACTCAATCGATAGAGTTTTGCAAAGCACAAGGCACATTCTCACTGCTTCTGTTGGTTTAAACTACGGGCTTTTGGATACACGTTCTGGAAATTGGTTAGTTAACCCATGTTGTGTCATTCAGTCTAAGATGATTACGAGATACAGATTTTTCTCTACTCAGCAATTACTCTTAAATTGCCCCCTTCTGCTCTGTACAACAAGAAATTCAGATTCCTCACAAGGTCAAGTTGGTGTTTAGCTCTGCTGTGGAGGGGCGTAGAACAGATCCGCACTGCAGAGAGAAATGGTGAAGATGCAGAAAAGGCTGGTGGGTGCAGAAAGAATAGAAAAAAAAAAGAGAAAAAAAAAAGAAATCAGTGGGAAGTCAGCCCCAGTGTCAGCTACACAGTTGGCCATCATTAGCTCAGTTGGCTGGATGGCTGGTTTGCAATGCAGAGTGATGCCAACAGTGTGGGCTCAATTCCCACATTCGCTGAGGTTCCCACGGGAGGGCTGTCCTTTCCAATCTCCTCCCTTTGCTTGAGGTGTAGTGACCCTTGGGTGAAAACACCAGTTATCGCTCTAACCCTATGGCCTGGTAAGACTATGGCGACATCACCTTTACCTCATACATCATGAGTATCACCAAGCTTCCTCATCAGTCCCCTTTATGGAGGGTGATGCATCACGCTCAGGCAAAGGAGAAATAATTTACAAGTGGCAAAACATAAGTTATAGTTTTGAACTCCTTCCAAGTTTGACATCAGCAAACACCAAGAAACCAGTGCCAGACTTCTGCAACAATGGTTTGCAATCTTCAACAAAAGAAAAAGATATTTGGAAATAAAACCAGAGCAGATGAGTTCTTTTAAAAAAAAAAAAACTGTCATGATCTAGAACGCACTACTTGTGAAAAGGCAGTAGAAACAGATTCAACGGTAACTTACAAATGAGAATTGGATAAGAACTCAAGGTGGTGGTTTTCACAGCTTTAAAGAACAGGGAGAGTGGGACTAAATGTATTTTAAATTAAGAAGCAGCAGCACCGAAGCAATGGGCCAAATAGCCTCCCTGTGCTGTATCATTCAACTATCATGTCATACAAATCATAGAATTTTTCCCCTTAACAGTTCATCCTGAGAAGCCTATCTGCTTTTAGTAACTTTCAACCCATGCTCATGATCAAAACTAAACCAGCCTGTCTCTTGGAGATCACACGAATGCTCACTCCAACCTCCCTGATATATAGCATCGGCAAAACCACACGGACTTACCTAAATTGGTCAGAAACAGAGCAACTTTCTCATACAGCTGAAAAACAAACATTTTAGATAAATTATTCTCAAGAAACAAACCTTACTGTGACCAATTTTCAACTTCATGTACGTAGTTTTACCGAAACAGTAGGGTTGTAACCAAACTCTCAGGGGGCAACTTGGCCAAACGGTATCAAGAGACCGTTTGTTAGCTTGCCTCCCCAGCAGTGTAGTCACTGAGTCAAGTCATCTGTGACGAGATGGAGGGGGAATAATCTTAAGATGAAGATAGGATGGTAGGGAGCAAGCATGAGGATTTATCACATCGGAAAACCAAGCTGGGAGGGGGAAAACTGGAGATCTCTAGGATCGACATGGGGGAAGTGAGGTGTGCAAACTGACCCCAAAGTGACTGAGTGCAAGGAGCACCAACAGGAGATGTGTTCTAGTTTCCTACTCCCCTTTGTAGGAAAAAAGGAGCTTCGGCATATCACACTTGAACATCCTGGTTTGAATTAAGATTCTTTCCCATAAGAGGGGAGGAAAATTAGACCATTCAGTCCATCAAGCCTGCTCCACCATTCAAATCATGGCAGATATTTCTCAACTCCAGTCTCCTGCCTTCTCCCCTTACTAATCAAGAACCTCTCGGAGCTAAGTACACACAGTGACATGGCCCCCACAGCCTGCTGGGGTAACGAGTTCCACAGATTCGCCAACTTCTAGCTGAAGAAATTCTCCCTCAACTCATTTCCAAAGGGTCATGCCTTCACCAAGGCTGTTCCCTCAGGTCCTGGTCTCACCTCCTAGTGGAAACATTTTTGCCACATCCACTCTATCCAGGCCTTTCAGTATTCTGTAAGTTTCAATCAGATACCCCCCCCCTCCCCCAATCCTTCTAAACTCTGAGTACAGGCTCCAACTACTCCTCATATGACAAATCCTTCATCCCTGGGATCATTCTCAAATCTCCTCCAAATCCTGTCCAAAGTCAATTTATCCTTCCATAGATATGGGACCCAAAACTGCTCCATATCCCAAATATGGTCTGACCACAGCCTTATACATCCTTAGCTGTACATTTCTGCTCTTGTATTCTAGCCCTCTCAAAATGAATGCTAACATCGAATTTGCCTTCCTAGCTACCAACTGGACCTGCATGTTAACCTTGAGAACCCTAAACTAGGACTCCCAAGTCCCTTTGTTTCATATTTCCAAAGCCTTTCCCCATTTAGAAAATAGTCTACGACTCCATTCTTCTGATCAAAAGTGCATACCCACACACTTTCCTCATACTGTATTCCACCTGCCACTTCTGTGACCACTCCTACAGCCTTGCCATCTCAACACATTGTTGCAAAGTTTGCAGATGACAATGTCAGTTCCTTTGTCCAGATCATTAGTCTATAATGTGACTTGTTGTCACAACACTGACCAGTGAAACTCTACTAGTCACCAGATGCCATCCTGAAAAAAGACCCCTTTATCTCTAATCTGTGCCAATCAGCTAATCCTCTATCCATGACAGTATCTTGCCCCTAATGCCATGGGCTCTTATTGAGCAGCCTCCTTGCAGCACCTTGTCAAAAGCCTTCTAGATATCCAAATAAATCACATCCACTAGCTCTCTTATCTAACTTGCTTGTTATGTCCTCAAAAGAACTCTAACAGATTGGTCAGGCATAACCTTCCTTGACAAAGCTGTGCTGACTCAGCCCCATTTTACAACACAGTATTAGTGGGTTAGTAAATTTGCGGATGACACCAAAGTCAGTGGAGTTGTGGATAGTGCGGAAGGATGTTGCAGGTTACAGAGGGACATAGATAAGCTGCAGAGCTGGGCTGAGAGGTGGCAAATGGAGTTTAATGCAGAAAAGTGTGAGGTGATTCACTTTGGAAGGAGTAACAGGAATACAGAGTACTGGGCTAATGGTAAGATTCTTGGTAGCGTGGATGAGCAGAGAGATCTCGGGTATCCATGTGCATAGATCACTGAAGGTTGCCACCCAGGTTGATAGCGTTGTTAAGGCGGCATACAGTGTGTTAGGTTTTATTGCTAGAGGGATTGAGTTTCGGAGCCATGAGGTCATGTTGCAGCTGTACAAAACTCTGGTGCGGCCGCACTTGGCGTATTGCATACAGTTCTGGTCACCGCATTATAGGAAGGATGTGGAAGCATTGGAAAGGGTGCAGAGGAGATTTACCAGGATGTTGCCTGGTATGGAGGGAAGGTCTTATGAGGAAAGGCTGAGGGACTTGAGGCTGTTTTTGTTAGAGAGAGAAGGTGGTTAAGAGGTGACTTGATAGAGACATACAAGATGATCAGAGGATTAGATAGGGTGGACAGTGGGAGCCTTTTTCCTCGGATGGTGATGGCTAGCACGAGGGGACATAGCTTTAAATTGAAGGCTGATAGATATAGGACAGATGTCAGAGGTAGGTTCTTTACTCAGTAGTAAGGGCGTGGAATGCCCTGCCTGCAAAAGTAGTAGACTCGCCAACTTCAAGGGCATTTAAATGGTCATTGGATAAACATATGGATGATAATGGAATAGTGCAGGTTAGATGGGCTTCAGATTGGTTTCACAGGTCGGCGCAACATCGAGGGCTGAAGGGCCTGTACTGCGCTGTAGCGTTCTATGTTCTCTCTCAAGTACATTGCAATCTCATCCTTAATAACGGACTCTAATAAAAGTCTTATCAATGGCCAAAGTTAGGCTAACCAGCCTATAATTTTCTGTCTTCTGCCTTACACAGGGTGTTATATAGTCATGTTCCAGTCCTCCAGGATCCTGCCTGGCAGATCACCACCAATGCATCCATAACCTCATCTTTCTCCTTGAGAAAGATAGGGGGCAGTCTATCCAGTCCGAGTGATTTATCCACCATCAGACTTTTCAGCTTCCCAAGCATCTTCTCAGTGACAGCCAGTACACTCGCCTCTTCTCCCAACTCTCAGTTCTGGTATACCACTGGTGTCTTCCACCATGAAGGCTGATGCACAGTACCTAATCAGATATTCTAAGTAAAAACCGAAAGAACTGCAGATGCTGTAAATCAGGAACAAAAACAAAGTTACTGGAAAAGCTCAGCAGGTCTGGCAGCATCTGTGAAGGAAAAAACAGAGTTAACGTTTCAGGTCTGGTGACCGTTGTGCAGAACTGGTGGTGGCAGGGTGGGTAGGGTAGGGAGTGAACAATAGGATAGGGCCCAGCGAGAGAGAGCGCGAGAGAGAGAGCGCGAGAGAGAGAGCGCGAGAGAG